GATATGATTGGATAACAATATTACAATATTGTGATTGGCTTGTTCGTTTTTGGGGGGATGGCCAGGAGGAGGGGGGGGGTTACGTTAACCGAAGAATCAACTTCAAATGGCCTAATGATGATAAATAAATATAAAGAGAATTATCATTTATAAATCCTTAAATTACAATTCATGTTCATAAGGATTTAAACTTTATTATACTATTTTTTTAGTCCTTAAAATTTATTTATTTAGTAGAATAACAATATAAAATGAGCAATATGTGGACAATAGTACACTCGCATGTCTGTGCTAGCGAATTCTGAATTTTGATTGGTTGTTCACACCAATATTGTTGAGAATAAGTTCATTTTAAATATTTTTTTCAAGCTTTTTAGTAGTTCTATTTTCTTGTAAATAAGGAAATTATAAAATTTCCGACAAATCATCAATCGGGGCACTAACTACAAGACCTTCTTTATCGAATTTATATTCAATAGTTTCATATTTGGCATCTTGAAGCTTTAATGTTGAAAAGTCAATAAGTTTAGATGAATAAATAGATTGTTTTTTCTTAGGATGTCGACGCTTCTTAAGTCCTCGAACTTTTCTGTCAGCAGAATTAAATTGATTTTCATTTCTGGAACGATTGTTCCATGCGGTAATTATACTCAATAATTCAGTACTAGATGGTCGTTTTAATGGATCTGCATCCCAACATCTGGTCATGACATCGACATAACATTTCGGGGTACCGGTGACAACTTCAGGACGCTGTCCTTTCACTATTCTGATTGCAAAGCTTAAATCATCATAATTTATATCATAGAATGGAGGATTTTTGGACGTTAATTCAAACATTATTATACCAAAGCTATAAATATCAGCTGCCCGAGTATACGGACGTCCTGTTAAAACTTCAGGGGCTATGTATTGGAGCACGCCAAATATCTTGGAAGTATTAAAATCGGCAAAGTTAGATAATCCAAAATCAGTAATATATGCGCTTAATACTGATACACTTAATTCATCCTGATCGATTAGGATGTTTCCTGAATGCAAATCTCGATGACTATAACCTTCTAAATGAATTTGATTCAAACCCTGAATAGTTCCTTCTAATATCTTCAATCTTTGCCACCATCCGATCAAAACCCTTTCATTTATAAAAGAACGTAAGTTGCCATAACTTGCATACTTTTGAACTAACCCGTATTCGCCAGTTTGATAATCTTTTGTGATTCCATAACATCGAATAACTTTATCACAACATACATGTAATTTAACCTAAACATTTACAAAAATATTTAGCATTTTTGAAAAAAAATCAATTTGAAAAAATTATAGTTAAATTATATTTACCTCCTTTAGCAACATAGAAATATATGATTCAGACTCTTTCAGATACTTCAGATACTTCACAACTACCTTAGTATTAGAGGCTCTTTCCCATTGACCTGTTTTCTCATCCCACTCTTCACGTGGTCCATCGCACCATATCGCCGAATTAACCGTTGAAAATCCACCTTTTCCGATTTGTTCTATATCCTCTAATTGATCGTGTTCTATCCATTCGATATAATTAGACATGTGGATCGCTTTAAGTTGTGATTCCTTTATTAATTCGTCAAGACGTTGATCACCGCTCGTCCAAGAGTCAAAATTTCTGCCAAAGTTTTCAGATTCACATTTATTACACCATTCGACATCAGTGAACTTATGTTTGCACCTTGTACAAGTACCATAATCTGGAGATATATCATCGTTCGATCTTAATGGAACCGCAAGATTTTCATCAAAAATTAATGTCGGATTATGTCCTGAACCTGTAATATGTAAGTTCATTAGAAACGTATGAATTATAATAGAAATTTTAATTTGGGAGCTCCTTACTTATAGATGATAGAAGTGTGTTCAAACTTTTGCTGTTTACCGGCATTTGTGATGGTGGGCTATATACCGGCTCTAAGCGCATCGTGCTTAGACGAACAACAATTTCATTAATTTTTGGTCTCAAATCTGGTTCCGTTTCCCAGCACCTTTTATATAGTTCCATATACTTGACAGGAGTATTTGAAATTGGAGCTTCTCGAGCACCTTGTAAAATACATGAGTAAATTGCAGTTTGATCGCGAAGGCTATCGAATGGCGAACGACAACTAGATATTTCCCATAAAAGTACACCAACACTATAAATATCTGATCGTTTGTCCTTCCTATATCCACCATTGGCAATAGCTTTCGGTTCAATATACGGTAATATACCCAGAAGAGATACTTGTGTGGTAAGCGTGCTATTAAGATTTTTTGATAAACCAAAATCTGCAATTTTGATTTGTCTTTGATGAACCAAAATGTTTTTGTCGTGCTAAATATTAAGTTGAAGAAATCTTAGCCACAGCATGATTTAATGAATACAAGAATAAAAGAACATACAAGATCACGATGTACTATATCTTTGTTATGAATATAGGCCACACCCTCAGCTAATTGTTGGGCAAGAGAAAGCTTCTCGGTCCATTGTAAATTGTTTCTCTCTTTATTTAGAAACTCTTGTAAACAGCCACTATCAGCATATTCCATCACAATTAAGTAGCTCCCATCATTTGGGTCTATAATAGGCTTTATTACAAGTAAGTTCTTTAAACTATTAGCGCGCTTTTAAATAATATGACCAACCTTTGCTGATGCCAAGAAAATTGATTATCCTATTGTTATCACCGAGTTGTCTATGTAATTTTAACTAGAATAGAAAGCAAATTTTTATTAGATAACCTTTCTACATGAAGAAATTATAAAATAGCTTATTTTAAATGTACCTCTTTAATAAAAGCATCAAAGACGTCTTGTTTTTCAAGATAAGATTGAAAGACCTTTTTTACTGCAACAGTAGTTTTAATAGACACACAATTTGCCGAATAGACTTCTCCGAAAGCTCCACGACCAATAAAAACGTGCTCTTTTAAATCATCGTATCGGATTTCATTGAATTCTTTCCCATTAACCTCCGCGTTAAACCATTCTTGAAGTGAACTCATTGATGTACTGTACCGAAGAAGCAAAATCCTGAAGATAGTAAAATTTGTTCAGGGTTTGCTTTTTTTTTGTGTGATTTTCCCATACACAAAGGTAACAAAAAAAGATATGCATTGTATAACGACATCTCAAGACTTTCATAAATAACCGATCAATATGAAAGATTCTTTAATTTCGAAAAATCAACAAAATGAACAAGGTGGTTATCAAATTATTAAAAATAATAATAATAATAAAGAGAACCTAATGATAATTTCTTAACTCTGTTAGTTTCACGAGTAGAAAATAACGAAGTATATGGACAAGAGATACAAATCTACGCAAGAATGTCTGGACTTTGCCACACCTTCTACTATAAGTGTAACATTGGTTTTCACGCATAATAAAAATAATACGAGTAGAAAATAACGAAGTATATGGACAAGAGATACAAATCTACGCAAGAATGTCTGGACTTTACCACACCTTCTACTATAAGTGTAACATTGGTTTTCACGCATAATAAAAATAATACGAGTCAAAGGGACAAAACTAATATGCATCAAATAACAAATTTAAAAGAATTAAGGTTATCTCATAAATCAAAGTAAAAGATGACGAAATATTAAATTTCATAAAGCTCCAGAAACAAAAGATAATAAAATATTCCAAATCTTCATGAACCTGTCGAAGCAAAAGATAATGAAATATTAAGACATCATAAAGACATTGACGATTTGAAACATGAGGCATCAAGACATCAATCTGCCTTGGGAAGAGCAACAAAGTTTCGACTGATCGTAATAATTCGTTCAACTTAGAAAAGATTTCTGTATAGTTAATTCTAACTATCTGACCTATATAAATATTAGTACTGTCTAATTGCATATACTGCTTTACTGCTTAACTGCATACAATTTCTGTCCACCTGGTTCCTAATGCAGTAATGATAAATGCATTTCTATAATTGTATAAAAAATAATTAAATACACTGTACATTTAAAGAATAATAAAGAATGCTTCTGAGCTTAATTTTTATTAAATCAACTTACCTTATGCATTTAATAAAAGTTGTAGAGGAGGTCTTTAAGATTCTAATGGTGGTTAAATCATCAAAAAGTGAATCGGTAGATCATGAGATATCAGTAAAAGAGGTTTTTCAAATTATAAAAAATCTGATTTCACATACAGTAATTGGGAAAACTTCTCTCATATCTCGTGATCTAATAGACCGATTTTGATGATTTAACCACCATTAGAATCCTAAAGAACTTCTCTACAATTTTTATTAAAGCACAAGGTAGGTTGATTTAATAAATAATTAAGTTCGGGAGCATTTTTTATTAATTAATAGAAATTTTGATTGATTAATTTTATCATGTGATTTGATAAATAAATTTAATTGGATAGTTTTATGTTACACGAAATTGTTCATGGGTCTTATGCATTTAGAAAGTACCGACTGTATCATCAAACAAGTCATGCGCCTGCTTATGCGCTGGGAGTTTGATTATATATTTTTTTTATATTATATATAGTTGATTTAGTGTTGTAGTGTTATTATTCCAAAATGCTACGTACCATAATGTTCAGCAAATATCACCTCCCTTGTTGTAAACTTTAAAATTAAACTCTATTGAAAAAAAAATTAGCCACAGCTTTTTTTTACTGGTGTCTAAATTTTGAACAAAGATTACTTGACATTGACCTGACCAAATTCAGTCAAATCTTTTTAATTTAATTCTATAATCTCATAATATTAAAATAAAAAATTTTG